TTTAATAATACAGTATATAATATTAGCCACAAAACAGCAGTTAGTGGGGATAGGTTAATTGGATAATCCAAATTGCCACTAGGTGTGAATGTGCGAGTGAATGTGAGTGTGAATGGTTGTCTGTCCTGTGTGTTGGCCCTGCGACAGACTGGCGACCTGTCCAGGGTGTACCCCGCCTCTCGCCCTATGACAGCTGGGATTGGCTCCAGCACCCCCCGCGACCCTGAAAAGGATAAGCGGTAGCGAATGGATGGATGGATAATATTAGCCAGTCTGAGTACAGTCTTACTTGATACACATATACTGTGTTGTGATAACAGCTGTATTATACCACTGTCTTTTCATATTTAGACACAACTATAGTTACATGTCTCATTATTAAGTCTCTATTAACTAGCAGTCGAAGTATATTATGATCACACAAAACTGTATTACAGCTTTCTGCCATATTGTTTACTGTAATAATCAAATAACATGTCGATCCACTGTGATTTTTTATTGACTGTTTTTACTATTATAATTCATTTTTCCCCTTTTCGGATCATTTTGTGGCCTGGCTGCATCTGACGTCAGAGATTTGTGTTGAACTAATAAATTCTGCTGTGATTGTTCATTGTAATTGGTGACAGAAATAAATTACATAATTATGTGAAGAAGTGCTTGTATAATAACTTGTCTTTAGTGTTTTTGTAAGCTAACAAATGGAGTTCTGTAACATACCCTTATATTGTTCGATTGTTTTTTGTGTATTCATTGGAAATGAATACATGTATTTAGCTTTAGAAAATATGAAAAGCAAAAAAAAATTTCATAATGAGAACACACATATTTCCATCACACTCCCATTTACCACATTTCATTATGTAGTTTTCAATAACTAAATAGACCAGAAAAATGTTCTTTAAAATAGTTCTGACTATATCTTTTAGTTGGTTACAGGTGGATCAGCACAGACAGAAAACTTAGTGTTACAGACTTAAGTGACACTTAACAACTGCCATCAAATTTGAATATTATCTCACTGTCGACTGATCCATCCATCTCTCACCATGTTGTCGCAGTGTGTGTGTGTGAAACTATGGACCGTATTTACTAAATGTTGTCCCCAGTTACAGTTAGGTGTGGGTAGTTTCCTTTTACACTCAGCTGTCTCTACAACACGATGGACTGGTACAGCATCTGTATCACTTCAGCTGCAGCACCAATCCATCTCTCAATATCCTGCTTCCTTCTCCCGTCACTTGTGAACAACACCTAAAAATACGTAAAATCCTCCACTTGGGACAGGATCTCATCCATGACCCAGAGTGGGCTCTCCAAACTTTTCCGACTGAGGAACATGGTGGAAATTTGGAAATGTTGATTCTCATCCCCACTGCTCACACTAGGCCATGGCCTGTTACAGGCAAACTGGAGGCCATTTCCCACCAGGAGTCTGACTTATTGCCTCCAACGTTCCACATACCACAGCTGTGAGTTGAAGATCTCGTGGACTGGAGCCTCTGCCAGGCATTTGCAGCGCACCTTTACTGTACTTTTAGGTGTGCTTGGTCTGTCCGTGTGATTCGACTCACCACCAGGTCGTGATCAGCTGATATCTCAGCCCAACTCTTTACCAGAGTGTCCAGAACATATGGCTACAGGTCCAGTGATACATTTACAAAATCCATCATCGACCGGTGACCTAGGGCATCCTGGTGCCATGTGCACTTATGGAAACCCCTATGTTCGAACATGGTACTCGTTATGGACAAAATGGGATTTGCCCATAAGTCCGAGAAATAAACGGAGTGTAACAGGGCTCTGTATTAGGTCCCCTTCTATTTATCATTTACATAAACAATCTTGGTCTAAATGTGCTAGATGCAACATTGCACTTCTATGCTGATGACACAGTTATTTACAGCTGTGGTTCAACTCTTGTCCAAGCCATTGACTTCTTGCAGAAAACATTTTCTCCTGTCCAGTACTCATTACTTTAGCTTAAACTAAAGCTTTTATTCACCACATGCAGTGGCAGGTTGCCCTGCAGTGGAATGAACCCGCCCCCCGACCATACACACACAACACAGACATCACATGGGGATACAAGTCAGAGAAC